CGGTATACATTTGACTGATTAACATAATCAAACTTATTATGTGAAAGATATAAAAGTATATAACAATTTTTAAAAAATCGCAGTTGCCTGGATAGATGCAGGTAATTGCAAACTAGAAATCTTTAAAAAAAATATATCAATAACACAAAATAAAATAAATCTCAAATTACCATAAAGAGCCAATTTAAAATAAGCGATGCGATAAAATAAGAATAAAGCAATATTAAATATATTTACTTAACCTTTAAAGATTAGAAAAAGAAAAGAATTTAATTTGACAACTTAAGTTATTGAAGAGCAACACTAAAACAATAAAAAGTTGTATCAAAAACTTATCATTTGAAAAATTATAGGAGAATTATCTGATTATAAAGTTACATTACATACACTTAATGTTTAGATATTTGTTTCTTTTGTACTCTAAAAATATGTAGAAAATTGATGCATTAGTTTAAAAAATCATTTAAATAACATTGGCATAATTAGTTTTTAACTGTGGCAGGGGCTTCAAAGCTAATTTAACAGCAGTATCCTGGGTATGCTGAACCTAAAGTATCAAAATATTTTATGAATAAAAAATTACTTAACAATCTAAACTGTTACTTAGCAACCTGTCTAAACTGTTACAATAAATAAAACATTACCATTGACTCAGAACAAAAATCTGTATCAAAATTTGAGTCTTCAGAAGCTGCATGAAGTGGATGGATTAAAAAAATTTGAAAAATAATTTCTTTAAAAAAAATCATAAAGAACTAAATAAACAGAAGATATAAACATATCTATTATATAACTATAGTATTGTATTTTATATTTACATAAACTGAAGGCAGTAGTCTATTTAAGCCACGGACCAAATTGAAATAAGTTTGTATAAAATTTATTGATTGTTTTTTTATTTTTACTTAATAAACAAACTTTGAAGTTTCTTTCAGGGCTTCATAACTTGTCGCACGTTGCAAAACTAAAACCTAGTCATATATATTCACAAATTAAAGCTTTGTATTGTAATTATAAAAAATACTATCAAATTATGGTGATTTAAATTTACCTTTATCATTTTGATTGACTCATTATACAGCCATTGAGAGTCAACCTTTAAATATCATTTGCAAGTGGTATGATAAGGTACTCATTGTCATTTTTAAAACAAACACATTTATTTACGATCTTTACACCAGTTAAAATGATATTAGACAGAATCTAGATACCTATACCAATTTAACTGGAAGAAAAAAAATTGCCCTTAATATACCCTTATCCCTTAAGGAATCCTTAAGGGTCCCTTATGTCATTTTAAAGCGGGTATTGTCTTTTCAATTTTTGTGAAAGACATCTGAAAAACAATCTTTTGTAAAAGACATACAAAATAAAATTTTATGATCTTGAATAAAGACAAAAGATTTTTGTGTGAAATAATTATTAATCGATTTATTAATAAAGAATATCGAAAAAGCAAAACATGAAAACAATTTGTAAGGATAAACGCAAAAATAAATAACAACAAGCATGAGCAATTCTGTCAAATTTGCATTTTTTTTTTCATTTTGGTGTCACCACTCTGTGTTAGGTTGTGATGGTGTCACCCAGTGCGGTCCGCACCCCTCTAGTGACGCCACTTGTCTCTAAGGCCACTAATTTTTAAACCCTTTTGCATGACGGACTTTTGACTTAAATTATAGTCATTATATCTATACTAGTACGAAGTAATTTTTTATGTTGATTTTAGGTGCCCCAAGAAGTCCTTACGGTCTTATCACAGAGCACCGCGGAAGAGCATTTAATAGGAAGTTCACGCCTCCTTCCCAACCGATGTTGCAAAACTTGCCCAGAGGCGGGGTTTGAACCACGGATCTTAAGTTTCTGAAGCAAGTGTGCTACCACTGCGCTACGGCTGCTTAAAGTAATTAATAGATGTAATCTCACACAGATTTAAAAATGTTGTTGTAAAATCTTGATTTCACAGATGTGATGTGATCATATAATGATGATGAGAGATATGATCTGTTTCACAAGTTTTAGACAAGTCTGGGGTCTTAAATTTGGGTATTGAAAAAATCCAGCCATAGGTATATGAAGTTTATCTATATACTTTTTTGCTTTCTAAAGAAGTTATCATACAACACGCTGTTTGAATTATTATTAAATATGTTGCAACTTGTTATACCTAAAACATCCGGGCATAGAAACTTTAAAACATCCGGGCATAGAAACTTGAATGCTTTTACATCCATTATGTTAGATGAAACACAACGTTTTAATAAAGTAAAAAAAAACAACTTTAAATAATACAATAAAGATGAAAGTATTTTTTCTAATAAAGATGAAAGTATTCTATGAAAGCATTTTTTTGTTAATAATCTGGATAAAATTTATAGTTAAAACTTATTTATGATATTGTTTATAATAAATAAATTATATTTATAATAGTTATTTATAATGTTGTTTTAATATTATTTTCACAAAATTGAAACTATTAAAAATAATATCAAAACTAAAAATGGTAGGGTAGACACAGTCTAAACACGTTGGCTAACTTTTTTTTATTTGTTGTGTAACTTTTTAGCATATCTCATTTTCTTTTTTTTTATGGAAAATATTTGAACCCTAGGTATAAAGTGGTGCAAATATAATATATAAAGCAGCTGTAACGCAGTAGTTCTAGCCAAGAGATTCGTGGTTCGACGCCGGCTTTAGCCCAATAAGCAACATTGGCAGGCTTCCTAGTTAAAAGCTCCTTTGCGTGATCTGCAATAAGACCAATAGCGCTTTAATAACCGAAAAAAAAAAAAAAAAAAAGAAAAAGAAATATAGCTATATCTATAGACTAAAAATAGGTCAAATTTGAAAATTTACTTTTGTTAAACCTTACATTATTTATACTATAAAACTCTAAATTTTAAGAAAAACAAATAAAAAACAGGTTGTTTATTTAATAGCTTATATTTATGTAGGCCATGTTTGTTTTTTGCCAGTTTATTTAACTGCCCATGTTTGTTTTTTATTTTCAAAACATTTAGAGCATAAAATTATACACAACAATGTAAAAAAACTATTTCATAATAAATAAATTTGTTTAGAAATATATTTTTTCATATAGCCAACTCTTGGGTTGGCCAACTTTTTGTCATCTTTAGAGTGAAAATGTTTTTTTTCATATAGCCAACACTTGGGTTGGTCAACCTTTTGTCATCTTTAGAGTGAAAATGTTTTTTTTTATATAGCTAACTCTTGGGTTGGCCAACTTTTTGTCATCTTTTTTTTTTTTTTTTTTTTTTTTTTTTAGTTTACATTATTTACATGTCGTGATTTCCATGTAATATAAACATATAAACTTGGAATCTGGAAGAAGATCATATCGATCTTGTCGCCAGAACCATATAAAAATTACAATATAAATATAATATAATATAATACAAGTAGTTTATAACAAAATAAGAAACCAAAACATTTGAAATAAGGAATGGTTAAAATAATATCTCAAAAATATTTCAATATATTATTCGTAGAAAAAATAATATTCTTTAACTTGTTTTTAAAAACAGAAAAAGAGATAGATGAATCTAAATTAGGCTGTACAATTTTATTCCACATATAAGCTGCTCGATAATCTATACAAAATTGATTAAACTTTGTTTGACAAAAGAGTTCTTTTAAATAGTTATTATTTCGCAAACTATATTTATTCTTTACTTTAAAGGTAAATAGATCTTTAAAAACATGAAATAAGGGGTTATTCATACTACAAAACGTAAAACATAAAATATTGTACAAGTTAAGTTCATAAACGTTTAATGCATTCATATCTTTAAATAGAGATTTTGTATTTGAAAAACGATTAAAAAATATATTATTCGCATTGCATGTTTCTGATGGCGGTAAAGACGTTGCAACTTACTTTTATCTGTACTTCCTCAGGCAATATTTGCATAGTTTATATAGCTATGAATAAATGAGTAGTATAGTTGTTTTAAATTATTTTTATTTAGATAATTTCTGGCCTTATAGAGGATACCAATACTTTTCGCAACTTTTGTTGATATATAATCAATATGAGCTTTCCATGTCATATTTTCGTCAAGATAAATACCTAGGAATTTTAAAATGGAATCTTTTTTTATTTCTACTTTGTCAGTATAAAGTTTAGTTAAATCATAAGGCAAAAAGCGTTTTTTTGTAAAAAAGATCCACTTTGTTTTGTCAATATTTAAGGTTAATTAATTGCATTTAAACCAATTAGAAACTTGATTAAGTTCTTCATTCATATCTAAAAAAAGTTTGTTAATGTCTTTGTTTGATAAAAATAAATTGGTATTGTCGGCAAACATGATGCATATAAGATTCGAGGCCTTATTTAGATCGTTGACGTATACTAAAAAGAGAAGTGGGCTTTTGGGTTGACCAACCTCTTGCCATCCTTAGAATGTTAATTTTTTCAATCATTTGTATTGAATACTAAAATTATTTTTAAAAGGTTTTAAACTTTAAATCTTGTTTTGATATATCAATCAACAATTGACCACCCATCCGTCTCTAACTCCAAGACCTATTGACTGTCCATCTCTATCTTCGCCCAACCTTGCAATAGAAAAATGTTCATGCAATGTGGTTTGTCTTTTACGGAAGCACTGTTAGAGGATGAAGAAATTGGCATATTTAGTTGTGAAGTAATTTTCATCTTAAGAACAAACGAATTGCGAACTTTAACCAATGATGTTAATGATTTCGGAACTGTATGAAGACCGGATAGCACGTGTTCTTCTAACTCAGCATCGCTTTCAAATGATAAAGTACAATTCATTTCAGTGCAAAATCTTAATGAATATAATTGCCTGTCACTTCTTTTCTGTTTTTCCTTAAGTGACTTGTTACGCTTAATTGAATTATCTGTTTTGCTATATGGCAACAACAACTTAATCGAGGGCTGAATTTTAAGATTTCCATACTCTTGTTCCATTCCCTCACCGATATTGAAATAACGCCACATCTTCATACTTTTCTCACCAAACTCAAATGAGTGATAGTTGCTAATGTTCTTAATCTTTGGTCCAGTAACTACAGTTTTATCATTGCTAATTTGAGCAACTGCTACTTTTGCATCTTTAGCGCCAAAACTATAATGCATAGCCTTGTGTATGTCTTCAGCAGTCAAAAGATTATTACCAGAGTCAACGTAACTCCTTAAAATTGTCTTTACAACTGCACTCTCCCTGTCACATTGATCTTTTCCACAACAGGGTTCATTATAATCATATCTCAGCAACTTTATATCTCTCTCTTTGCATACATTGTAGATTGCTTCAGCTGAAAGATTTCCCTGATAGCAGCCGGCATTATCAGATTTGGTAAACATTTTCTTGATATGCAGTTGATCAATTCTGAATTGGTCTAAAACTGCACTGGCTAACGAAACAACATCACCTATTCCCTGATCACACCTATACATTGAAGTAAAGTAAACGTTTGAACACTTTTGAATAACTTTCTAAACACGTTTACACGCCATATCTAAACACGAATAACAACTAAACACGTTTGAATAACTTTCCTGCTATTTTTATGAAGAATATATCCACATGTAAACTCATTCCTTTCTTGCCAAAATACTCTCTTTGGCCCTCTCTGTATCAAACCGGAAGAATTTTTTGACAAAAATCTTTAAGCCAGAAAGCAGTTTCATCGTTTAATTGCTTAAAAGCTTCGATTTTTGCCTTTTTCTGTTGAGAATCTCTCATCAGGTGTTTTATGTAGTTGAATACATCCTTTACATCAATTTCCAAATCATAAATAGAATCAGCATCGTCAGAATTTTGAATTGTTAGTTCTTTGATCATCTCGATAGCTTTGCACAAATCATAGCAATCGGCACATACCACTTCTGATATCTCTGTGTTGGATTGAAGATTTTTTTCAGATGAATCTGATAAGGCATGTTTTGAGATATGAGAAGAAATGTTTGAGTCATTGACACTACAATTGGTTTGATAACTTGTTTTCAAATACCTTTTTCCTTTTTCAGGGCAGCTTCGAGAGATTTAAAACTAAATCTTTGTGCCAATTTTTGTAATGTTTGAAAACCATTCATGCCTGAAGCAGTAACATCATCTAATCCAGCTAAACTTTTTCGACTTGAAGGTTTTATTGCATGCAATACTTTCCACAAACTTGAATCAGATAATGGTATAAATTGTTTTCACTACAACTTTTTCGATAGAACATGATAGCGTGGCTATATTTTGTCGTCAGTATTGCATGCACTATCTTTTGTTCTTCACCGCTGTCGTATTTTAATTTGGTTATTCCATAAGCAACATCATGCAAAATACCGCTTGTAAATATAAAGTCTAAGAAATGTTCACACTTTGTTTGATCAAGACTAGATCGGACGAATACTTTCTTCTCTGGAAATGCCAACCCTTTATGAGATGCATGCCATTTTCTTGCTGTTTCTATACGATGTTTGGTACACTCAAATGTGTTCATTATAAACTTTTTGGTATACTTGGTATGGTCTAATAATGAGAGGATAACTAACTTTCCCATGGAATCACTTTGCTTATATACTTTCTGAGCACGAACAATTTCAATTGGGAGAGAGCTATTTATTTCATCAACATTTTTACTGTTAAGAAAATCTATAAGTATTTCCTCTTGTCCAGGAGCAACAGCTTCCGAAAATTTTTTCTTTAATAAGTTTTCTAGGCGAACATACTTGCGTTTTAACTTATCTTTAGTAGTATCTTCCAGATATTCGAACTTCCTTTTTAATCTAAATTTTATTGGAATTGCATTAAGAACTTCAGTTACACTCTCACGGCTTCTTAGAGATTCGTCCAAAATCTCCTGTGAAACATTAATTTCACCGGGATCAAATTCTTCATCTGGAGTAGCAGGTGTCATATATGTTTGTTCTTGTTGTGTTTGTGTTTCTGTACATAAATTGGTGTTTTCGTTGACTCTAGATAAAGCAGTTTCTTGCTTTAAATGGGTAAAACACAGCATTGCATTAACTGAAAATACTTCATTGTATCGCTTTGACATTGATATGACGACATGTATTGGTGACGCCTTTAAAGCGGGAGATTTTCCTTTTATATTTAGATGGTGAGGATGAAAGCATGTTTTTGGAGGACTCCATGCAATACCAAAAATTTCTTTTAAGTCTATTTGCAATAAGTCCATTTTCTTCCCAAATATTATTATCGTTTAATCGCATGACCTAAAAACAATTTTTTAAACAATTATTAAGTGTGTCATTTAAAGCATTGTTTATAATCTGACTCTTCACGAAGAATATTTACAAGTTTGAAATACATTGTTGTTATTATTAAAATACAATATTGCAAGAGTGTGATTAATTTAGTGATTATTTATTAAAAGAGTGAGGAATTAATTAAAAGAGCTACTTTTTTTTTTGTTTAAAGAACTTTGTCTCAAAATCTTATTGCAGAGAAGTTATAAAGTATGTAATTATAAAAATTATATTACAGTCTGCGTAAATTTAAAATACAAAATTACCTTTAAGTTGATGAGGTGTTTCTTAACATCAACATCTCCCAGCTGATGAATGGAGAACATTTTGTTTATAATTTTATGTTTTTTGAATGATCCACATTTCCTTTTGAAAAGCAACAACAGTTTTCATAAAAATATTTGTTTTGTTCCATACTCTACTAAAAACAAGTTCTATTTATGCAGTACCTATTTCTCAATAGCAATGATAAAATATCTACTCTATTTATGCAAATTTTAAAGATCGTTAAAATAAAGTTAAGACATTTTTATGGTAAAGTAAACAACCGCCCACTAACTTGTTTCTCCACAATCGTGATATCAGCGATTCTTCTTTCATTCGATCACCACAAGTTATTTGGTTATGACGTAAATTTAAATAATTCACTTCTGATCATGTATTGTTTTTTATTATTATTTGTTTCAATTGTTATGATTTCTATATCATAGTCAGAAACGCTTAAATTTTTTCTTAACATTACGTGCAATGTTTTGTGTAATGCTAATTGCTAATTTTGGAAGATAGAAATTTTATTGTGAGCGAAAACCTCATCTGTGTGTCCAAAAAAATATCTCTTCGTACTTAATCATTTTTAACAATTTGTACCTTTATTTTTAACTAAATATTTAAAGATCACATGAGTTTTTTTTTAAACTATGTTAGGGTCATCTTATATTGACCATTTAACATGATTATATTTTTACAAAACTTAGCGCCTCTGCCGTAATAGCTCATTTTGTACTTACAAAATGAGCTATTACGGCAGAGGCGCTAAGTTTTGTAAAAATATAATACTATAACATTTTTTTCCAATTTCAAGCCTTAATATATTAATAGGCCTTAGGTATCACATAACTTTCTTTGCATTTTTAGACTCAATACCTTTGATAATTTCAAATCCTAAAAGAAAAATTGTGTGCAACACTTCGCCGCTAGAATTAACTCCGATTAAAAATTGACTAAACTGATTGATTTTGTACTTTTAAACTATGATAATTAGCCAACCACACTGTGTCACGCAACTTTTTAATATTTTTTGGAGAGAGCTTTTGGGTTACGTCTGATATTAACTACAAAAGCTATGTGCAACTTTTTGCCTTGCCAAAAAAATTGGGTTCAAAGGTGGCAAAAACTAAATTTCTAAATATTTTTAAAAAAATCTCAAAAATTTAAGCCCAGATTCCGAGTGAACTAAACATTTTTGAAAATTTTATTTTCCCCAACAGGTTTTCTCTATATTCTGATCAATATATAAAAAATTCAAGCAATTTGGAGGAGGTCACTTCCATTGACTGCCTGATTCTTACAAAAAATGACTCTTAAATTTGAATTAAGCTGATGATGTCAAATTGTTCTTGTAAGAACAGTTTCTCAGCTTTCTTTAAAAAAGTTTCTCAGCTTTCTTAAAAAATGAAAAATAAGCTTTGTACCTATGTGCATTAATAATATCTAATTTGATGAATTGAGAAGTTGTGTGATTCTTCTACCAACAATATACAACTGCTATTATTGTTAGCATTTTTGCTGCATGAAAAACTATAATCCACTTATTTTTATTTCTTAAAGTAAACGTTTATTCAAATATATATAGCAACTGATTAGCAAAAAAAAACATAGATACTAGATATTATTATACATATTAAGATATTGTTATACATATCAACTGCGGCAAGAGCGCATCCTAAGAGCGTATCAATCGCGGAAAGAGCGCATCTTAATGTAAAAAACATTACTCAGTACAATAACAAAAAATAACACAAGTTTGAAAATCATAAAAATTAAAAAATCGAAAAATTTACAGAAAAATTTCTTATATATTAAAAGTAAAAATTTGGACCTTATTTAGCTTTAAAACGTTAATATGCAAATATGATTCCTTTTTCTATAAGTGGGAGGTTTTAATTTATGAATACTTTGTAAGTTAGTTGGCTTATTTGTGAAGAAATCATCTTTTCGTCATCAGCATACATATACATACTATACATTTCACGGTTGACTCGAGTAAGCATTGTCAATAAATCTTCTTCTTTTGAATACTTTTTGAATACTGCTAAAAGACATTCTATAAACCATGAGTTCTGTTTACAACTTGTGGTTGAATATGCCACAAGTACGTTTGCATCAGAAGGTAATGTTTTAACAATATCAATATTTGAAATCGTTTTTGAATTAAAATTTACATTATCACATTCATCTCCAGTACAAGTTTGTACAAAAAAAATCTTCGGTATTTGAATTGAAATTTTACTCATTTTCCCGTTAAATAAGTCAATAATCTCATTCAAATTAATGAAACAATCGTTGCAATTGATAGAACTTTCGTCTCCGATGCTTGATATAAGCACAACAATGCAATCATAATCTAAAAATACAAGAAAATAAAAATATATATTCTATTTTAAAGTTATAACTCATAAATTCTCCCGGGTCCAAAATATCTGATAACTAATAAACACCTGCTGTCGGAAAATAAAAGTTCGCTTTGTTTTCAAAACTCATCTAACATTTTTTTAAAAACAGCAATAATTGTAAAATAGAAAATTTATGTTTCTTTTACCCCAAATTTTGAGAAGTGATGAAAGGATTTGTGTCAGATAGTTAGATCTACAAAAACCTCGATCAACTAATTTGCTCTACAAAAAGAACAATTACTAAAAAGTGGAACTAATTTTCAGATGTCCTACTGAGGCCTAAATTGTTTTCAACCGATTATAGCATTTTTTATTTTCGAATAATTTCTGACGTTTTAATTTTCGAATGATTTATCTTTCGACCGATTTTATAGATTTTAATTTTCAATTGATTTTAGATAAATTAATTTTCAACCGATTATAGGCAATATTCATTTCAACCTACTACCCGGTGTTTTATAATGTTTAATCTTTGCGCTTTAAGGTTTTTTTTATAAAAAGACGTTAACAACAAATTAATAATAGACACGTCCAACATCATACTGAAATAATCTGCTTCTGTTGTTGAGTGCCGCTACATCGACTGAAGGTTGGAGCATATAAGGCTGGGGCATAAGATATAAGGTTGGGAAAGCAATCTTTTACTATTCTTCATTTTTTTCTTCTTTTTCTGAAAAAGCTGTAAACCATAAAAGTAAGCAAAAAGAGTAAGCAATATATATATATACATATATATATATATATATATATATATATATATATATATATATATATATATATATATATGTATATATATATATATATATATATATATATATATATATTTATAAATAAAACTACATATTTTTCACTACTATAAGTTTCATGCTAAATGCAATCAATAGGTGTAAATAATTTTGTTTCTTGTGAAAAAAGAATAAATCTGTACAAAAGAAAATGAGTTAGAAAGATCTAAATCTTTTGGTTTGTGGTTGTCCAGCAAAAACTTATTCTCATGAAGATATTTAGATATAAGTTCGTTTTTTTTGTTTAATAGTTCTTTAGGACTTTTATACAATAAAACTAATAGCTTTTTGTATAAGCATAACAGGGATTTTTTGATTATGTTGTTGTAGGCGGGGGCGCTTTTTATGATGGACTATTTTAAATTGGGTGTTGTTTTTGATTTATTTTCTGTATCCCATAAATATTTGAAAGCGTGGTTGCGTTTGTGAGTTTTTTATTTTTGAAGGAATGCTTGCGATTCGCCTATAGTTTTCCACATGCACTCTGTTGAACCAATTTATGTGTTGTTAGGTGTGTTTGGGAATGATGCAATGCACTTATAAATTACATTTGTTTTTCTGCAATTTATTTTTGGTAGTGAGTAAACGGCGAACTGCGAACCGCGAACTGCAAACCGGTAAAATGCAAACTTTTTTGCGAACCATAGTTCTATTGGTTGTTAATGATGTAATATTTTTTATTTTCCATTTACCGTTATATTGTTTATTTTACTATATATTTTATGGACTTCAAGCAGAAAGATAAATGATATTCTAATTAAAAGAAACACAATCTAATTTAAATAAAATATATCAAATTACAATATATTTAATTTAAATTAAAAAATTGACAAGCAAAAGTTTTTTAAAATATCAAAACCGTAGTGGTCATTAAAATATAATCACTTGGTTCTAAAGAATTATTAAACAAAAAAAACGAACTAAAATGTAAATGTCGCCAAGAGAACAAGTTTTTGTTGGACAACAACAAACCAAAAGATTAGATTTTTCTAACTCATTTTCTTTTGTACAGATTTATTATTTTTTCATGAGAAAAAAACATATTTACACCTGACGATTGCATTTAGCATGAAACTTATAGTAGTGAAAAATATGTAGTTTTATTTATAAAAAATATATATGTAAATACAGCTCTGTTTTAATTTAAATCATTTTAATTTACTTTAATTCATCGAGAACTCTCACGAAGATGTATGCAAGCACTAATACAAGTATATATATATATATATATATATATATATATATATATATATATATATATATATATATATATATATATATATATATATATATATTTATATATATATTTATATATATATATATATATATATATATATATATATATATATATATATATATATATATATATATATATAATATATATATATATATATATATATATATATATATATATATATAAATATATACATATATATATAAATATATATATATATATATATATATATATATATATATATATATATATATATATATATATATATATATTTATTATTTTTGTTACTATTCATTAAATTCCTTTAGGGCATTATTTCTATGTTCTATTTTTGACACTATTCATTAAATTCATTCGCGACTTTATTCTTTATTCTGTTATTCGACAATCAGTAATGCGACAGTTTGCGACACTATTCCTTTTTTATATTTTCGACAATCAACTTTGCGACAATCAAAATTTGCGACAATCAAAATTTTGCGACAGTATTCCCCCACACCCTAATGGTTCATAAGTCTCTGACTTCTTTAGCAGATGAGTTATTGAAAAAAAATTCAACATTACTTTTAATTGAAAAAAATAAAAAGTATTAACAGTAAAACTATTTAAAAGTTGATGGACAGATCAAAATAAAAAAAAACAAAATTAAAGATGCTAGAGATGGACAGTTGATGAAAATAAAAATAAACAAATAAGAAGTGATAGAGATGGACAGATAAAAGATGGCAGAGATGTAGGAAATGATGATGGAAATAAAAATAAACAGCCGATAGATAATTCAGATAAGATGGGCAGTTGAAGGAAGACGAAGATAGAGATGGACAGTCAATAGGTCTTGGAGTTAGAGACGGATGGGTGGTCAATTGTTGATTGATATATCAAAACAAGATTTAAAGTTTAAAACTTTTTAAGAATAATTTTAGTCCTCAATACAAATGATTGAAAAATTTACACTCTAGGGATGGCAAAAGGTTGGTCAACCCAAGAGTTGACAATATGAGAAAAAAACATTTTCAATCTAAAGATGACAAAAGATTGGCCAACCCAAGAGTTGGCTATATGAAAAAAAACATTTTCACTCTAAAGATGACCAAAGGTTGACCAACTTAAGTGTTGACTATATGAAAAAAAACATTTTCACTCTAAAGATGGTTATTAAAGTGCTATTGGTCTTATTGCAGATCACCGCAGAGGAGCTTTTAACTAGGAAGCCTGCCAATGTTGCTTATTGGGCTAGAGCCGGCTTATTGGGCTAGAGTCGAACCACGAATCTTTTGGCTAGAACTACTGCGTTACAGCTGCTTTATATATTATATTTGCACCACTTTATACCTAGGGTTCAAATATTTTCCATAAAAAAAAAGAAAACGAGATATGCTAAAAAGTTACACAACAAATAAAAAAAAGTTAGCCAACGTGTTTAGACTGTGTCTACCCTACCATTTTTAATTTTGATATTATTTTTAATAGTTTCAATTTTGTGAAAATAATATTAAAACAATATTATAAATAATTATTATAAATATAATTTATTTATTATAAACAATATCATAAATAAGTTTTAACTATAAATTTTATCCAGATTATTAACAAAAAAATGCTTTCATAGAATACTTTCATCTTTATTAGAAAAAATACTTTCATCTTTATTGTATTATTTAAAGTTGTTTTTTTTCACTTTATTAAAACGTTGTGTTTCATCTAACATAATGGATGTAAAAGCATTCAAGTTTCTATGCCCGGATGTTTTAAAGTTTCTATGCCCGGATGTTTTAGGTATAACAAGTTGCAACATATTTAATAATAATTCAAACAGCGTGTTGTATGATAACTTCTTTAGAAAGCAAAAAAGTATATAGATAAAGTTTATATAACTTTGGCTGGATCTTTTCAATACCCAAATTTAAGACCCCAGACTTGTCTGAAACTTGTGAAAGAGATCATATGATCACATCACATCTGTGAAATCAAGATTTTACAACAACATTTTTAAATCTGTGTGAGATTACATCTATTAATTACTTCGTATTAGTATAGATATAATGACTATAAATTAAGTCAAAAGTCCGTCATGCGGAAGGGTTTAAAAGTTAGAGGCCTTAGAGACAAGTGGCGTCACAAGAGGGGTGCGGACCGCACTGGGTGACACCATCACAATCTAACACAGTGTGGTGACACCAAAATGGAAAAAAAAATGCAAATTTGACAGAATTGCTCATGCTTGTTGTTATTTATTTTTGCGTTTATCCTTACAAATAGTTTTCATGTTTTGCTTTTTCGATATTCTTTATTAAGAAATCGATTAATAATTATTTCACACAAAAAATCTTTTGTTTTTATTCAAGATCATAAAATTTTATTTTGTATGTCTTTTACAAAAGATTGTTTTTCAGATGTCTTTCACAAAAATCGAAAAGACAATAGCGTTTTGTTGATTTTTTGATTAGCAATAATGTTTTATTATGATTTTATAATTTTATTATCTTGAGTTTGTTTATCATAAAACTACCTACTTTTGATGTGCTACAAGAATTTGTATTTAGTGTCAACTTGAGGGTCAACCTGGAAATAATTTGTAAATTATTTAATTAAATTTTTTTTTTTCTTATGTCCTTATTAACTACCTGACTTTTTTTACTAACATTTTATAAACGATTATATATGGTCAATAGTATAGAAACACTCCAAAAAGGTTTAAAATGATTAATGAAAATCTAGAGGGATGACACAAATCAAGAGTTTACCGCACTGGGTGACACCAACCCCAGCCACGCCACGGGTTTATACTAAAAACTTTTTTTCAATAACTCCTAGGGCTACTAGTTATTGCACCTAGGGCCATTAGCTATTCTATCTAAGGCCGCTTTCTGAAAATTAGACATAATTTTGATTAAACATTTATTTAATTTTAGATCAGATCAATAATTTGATTAAACATTTATTTAATTTTAGAAGTTTTTATCAAATTTATTTAGTGTTACTTAATTGCAACACTTAAATAAATAACAGAATTATAAAATTATAATTTATAAAAAATCTCTCCTATTAACAAACTCGGGTTGAGAGAAAACTTATAGAACATCGCATTTAGTACTTAAGTAACAAACAATATAATATACAAGAACTTTTAGAAAAGCATTTTCTCGTGCAATTCAAGAGACCAGCGGCAAATGTGTACTTTAGACCATCAAAAGCGTTTTCCGATTACAACTTGCCATAGCAACGCCCCTATGAGAATCAAAATAGGATTTAAAAATAAAATGTTTTTATAACTAATAACCTTACTGAGAAGCATTACTTAGAACGTTATATTTTTCAAATAAAGTAGGGTGGCCCTAGGCGCAAAGAGGCCTAAGGTACACCTACTTCCCCTACTAATGATAAAGAAAATATTTTACTAATAAATATTTTAGGCGAATTTAACAAACTTATTTATTAGTAACAAATAGTTTTAAGACAATATTTAAAACCTATAAAGTTAATAGGTAATAAAAAATGATGTTATATATATAGCAGTACAGTTAGGACCTAACAAACGTATATATGTTTTAGGTTGGGAATAAGTGAAGTGCAATTTTATCAACAACTTTTTAAGAAATTATACTAGATTATAATAAAAATAACACTTTTTTATAGTATCGACAGAATTTTGCAAATCTGAAAAGGAGGGGGGGGGAGAGGAGATTGTACTAATATCAGCTTAAAGCACCTAGCTTAAAGCATGATAAAGGTATAAGTTTGTAAAACCAAAAAAAAAGATATAACTTTACATTTTAGAAAGAAAATTTATGTTAACTTCTACCTTGACCCTGTTATGATGTACCTACCTTGAATTTTGTTGCATGAAGCTAACTCACTACATTTTGTAATAAAATTTTTTCCGCATGAAACTTTGTAAAACTCAGTACAAAAATTTGATTCTTTAAAGTATTTGATGAGTTCAAAATAACCATTGTCTTGTGAAATATAACTGTTAAAAAAGTCGAAGACTATCAATAAGCCTTTATTTACACGATATGTTAATTCGTCACCAGAGCGGCCAGAATAATATGGAAAATTTATAGATTCCATAATACCATTTTTTGACAAAGAAAAGACTTTTTAGTAATTTCTGAAGATTTCTAGATATAATAAAAATAAATAAGTTTATTGTTGACTTGAGCTAATTTAAAAAAATGCATACATACGTACATACATACATGCATACATACATACATACATACATACATACATACATACATACATACATACATACATACATACATACATACATACATACATACATACATACATACATACATACATAAATTTTATTTTCGAGTGGTTGCCTAATACCAGATTGTATCAAATGATGAGCAGAAACAGGTTGTTTATAAATTAATAGAATTTTTTAATTTCTGGATTAATAGAATTTTTTAATTTCTGGATTAATAGAATTTATATTAATATCTGGATAGATAATAGAATTTATAATAGATAATAGATAATAGACAATAGATAATAGATAATAGATAATAGATAATAGAACTTATATTAATATCTGGATTAATAGAATTTTTTAATTTCTGGGATTAAAAAAGATAATCGTACAAGATCAATCGTGATGAAGTTAAAAAGTTATAAAGATAAAATCAAAATATTGAAAGAAACGAATAGATTAAAAGGCTCAAATATATGTGTCAATGAAGATTATTCCAAAATGACAGTTGATATCAGAAAAAAGTTGTTTGTTTATGCAAGTTAAAGAACGACGTCTAAAGGGAGAAAACCTTGCAGAGAGGTATGACAAAATTATTCATTTAAAAAACGCGGTAAAATACTCAATCAAAGCTCCAAAGTAAAAGTAATGCATTTTTTATTTATTTAACTTTTCATTTTTTTTTTTTTAGTTATATTTTTCTCCTGTCTTTTTAAATGGCGGAAATAATTATAATTTTTTTAATACATTTTCTGGAAAAAACGTATGTCACTTTTCAAAAAACATTGATTCTGAAGTAAACATTCTTGGCAATTATTCCTTAGAAACTAACTATTATAAAGTTCATGAGGTTACAAGTATTTTAAATAAATCACTACATTACATGTCATTACTAAATATAAATATTAGAAGCATGAGCAAAAACTTTGAAAATCTAATATTAATGCTAAATAATATAAGTTTTAAATTCAGTATAATCTGTCTTACTGAAACCTGGTGTCAGAGTGAAGATATGAGTAACTCTAATTTGCATTTAACAGATTACAATTCTGTTCACCAACCGAGAAAAAACGGTATTGGCGGAGGCGTATGCATATTTATTCACAACTCGTTGACGTATAAAAAAGTAGATAGTCTAAGTGTGAATAACTCGAATTGCAAATCATTAACTATAGAGATAATAAACCAAAAAGAAAAAAATTCGTTTATAACAGTTTTATATCGACCACCCAATGGCAGTTACAATCAATTTGAAAATGGCTTAAGGCGAATATTAATTCAAACCTCTAAAAAACATTTATATTTACTCGGAGACTTTAATTTAAACTTGATAAATTTAAACACTGATAACCACGTAAAAAGTTTTATAAATACTCTTTCTCAATTTAGTGCTTACCCCATGATTAATAAGCCGACGCGTGTAACTCGAAAAACATCTATTATTGACAATATTATCACTAATAATTATAGTAACTCGACAATCAATAGTGGTATAATAAAAACAGATATTAGTGACCATTTTCCTGTTTTTTTAACAACAAATACTAAATGCTATATAAATAAAAAACCCATAACAGTATACATAAGGCATGTAAACAAAGACTCGATTACAGTTTTTAGACAGCTTTTGCGTGAAATCAATTGGGAGCTTTTGAATGATTGCAATGACACATGTAGCGCATACGATTTCTTTATTCGTGTCTTTACAAGGCAATATAAAAAAGCTTTTCCTAAAGTTTGAAAAAATATAACATCCAAAAGTTTGCATACCCCGTGGATGACTAAAGGTCTTTTGAAATCATCAAAAAAAAAAAAAAAAGCTTTACGAAAAATTTTTAAAAAACAAAAACTATGAAAACGAAACTAAATATAAAAAATACAAAAACTATTTCGAAAAAATAAAAAAGCAATCTAAAAAAAACTTCTATTCTGGTCTACTTCAGAAATCATTCGGAAATGCTAAAAAAACTTGGACTATAATTAAAGATATAATAGGGAAAACAAAAATTACATCTAGCAATCTCCCTAATCGACTGAAAACCTATAAAGGGGAAATTTTTAATAAAAAAACAATTGCCGAGAGACTGAATAATTTTTTTATAAATTTTGGGAAAAATTTAGCCAAAGAAATCTCTCCAAGTAGCAAAATATTCCAGTCTTTTTTGAAAAAATCAGATTTTATTATGGACAATTCGGAACTTTCCATTGATGAACTTCGTTCAGCTTTTGACATGCTTCAGAAAAATAAAAGTGCAGGTCTTGATGAAATTAATGCAAATGTTTTGAAAAGTGTCTTTGACATTATCGAATTGCCTCTTTTCATTATTTTTAAACTTTTATTAAGAAACGGGGACTTTCCTGATCAATTAAAACTTGCGAAAATAGTTCCAATATATAAAAACGGCGACGATTCTTTAGAATCAAACTATAGACCCATCTCAATTCTCTCCTGTTTTTCAAAGGTTCTCGAACGTATTATGTATAATAGAATATATAACTTCATTGATAAAAATAATATTTTATATCTTACACAGTTTGGATTTCGGAGAAATCATTGCTCTGAGCATGCTGTGATGAATTTGGCTAGCAATATTTTGAAAGGATTTGATGACAATAATTATACACTTGGAGTTTATGTTGATTTATCGAAGGCATTCGACACTGTCAACCACGAAATCCTTCTCTATAAGTTAAAAAATTATGGAATTCAAAATACTAATCTAAAATGGATCGAGTCTTATCTACAAAATCGTAAACAATGTGTGACGTATGATTTAACTTGTACGCAGTTAGAAGTTATTAGTTGCGGTGTCCATCAGGGCTCAATACTTGGTCCTCTGCTGTTTCTCTTATATATCAATGACATCCACTTATCTTCTAAATTCCTTAATTTTGTTCTTTTTGCTGATGATACTAATTTTTTTTTTTTCGGGGTCTAATTTAAAATTTGTTTTTTCTACTGTAAACACAGAGCTAATTAATCTCAATGAATGGTTTAAAGCCAATAAACTGTCCGTAAACATTGATAAAACTAAATACATTCTGTTCACGAAACCTTCGAAACTGATAACATACCCCTAAAACTTCCTGATTTATTTATAAACAACATTAAAGTAAAAAGAGTTCATTCAATGAAAATCCTAGGTATAATATTTGATGATCATTTAAACTGGAAAAATCAATTCCAATTAGCAAACAGCATTTCAAAAGCTCTTGGGATCCTTTTCAAAACGAAGCACCTTTTAAATACAATGTGCTTAAAAAGCTTGTATTTTTTATTTATTCATAATCACATTAGTTATTGCAATATAGTGTGGGCAAGTAATTATTCATCTTCTTTAAAAAAAATTAATACCAAACAAAAGCAAACAAGCCGGTTAATTTTGAATGCAGGCAGATATGCATGCGCCGAGTCTTTACTTAAAAAAATTAATGTTTTAAATATTTATAAACTAAACATATTTCAAAATCTGTTATTTATGTTTAAAATTCATAACAACATGCTTCCAATTTATTTTCAACCGCATTTCCCTTAATTAATCATAAATACTCTACAAGACATTCCATTGGCAACTTTCTCATCCCTACAACATCCCTTAGAAAAACAGACTTCTCAATTACATGTCAAGGACCACGTTTGTGGAACTATTTCCTTAATAGAGACATGAAAAACATGACTTCAATTGAACTATTTAAAAGAGCAGTTAAACGATACTTATTAGATTTAAATAATAAAAACATTCTTTTGTATTTTTAAAAACATTTATATATCGATTTGTTAACACGTATATATGCATCTTATAACTTATATATTTTATGAGCTGTAATATGTTATAGTATGTACAAAACTTGTAATATGTGTAAAATTTATATAACGTATATTTTAGGAACTTAATACGTAAATCTTATTTGATATTTTCACGAACTTAGGAGCAGGTTGATAAGACGCATTGTCTTCTACTTGCTCCTATCAGAATATAAAGATTTAATTTTTAATTTTTACAAAAAATATTATAAAATGATTGTTTATTGACAAAATATATATATGTTAATGTTAATGTTAATTTTTAATTTTTACAAAAAATATTGTAAAATGGTTGTTTATTGACGAAATATATATATATATATATATATATATATATGTTAATGTTAATGTTAATGTTAATTTTTTAGCGCATCCTTCCTTACCAATTGTAGTATAAAGGTTGTCCTTGATGGACAACACTTTTCTTTATTTCCTGTAACGTCAGGGGTTTCTCAAGGTTCTTTTCTTGACCCTATACTTTTAATTTACATTAACAACCTCCCAGAAATTTCAAAAAAGGTAGTATTGTTTGCTGATGATACTAAGATTTACTTTTGTCTGGATAAGAACCCAACAATCTCTGATTGCTTGGAGGGGGCATCTGAGCTTGAAAAGGATCTTACTTCTGCTACAGCACCGGGCTCTCAGTGGCTGGTGAACTTTAACTCAGGTAAAACTCAATTTTTTTCAGCTAATCATTGTTGCAACAATCTAAATATTCCTATATTTATAAATGGTAATGTACAAGTTTTGCGACATCCTTTATGAAGGAGGCGTAAACTTCCAATTAAATGCTCATTCGCAATGCTCAAAAAAAAAAGTATTCCAGGTTCTTATTCGTCTAGTTTTCCTGATTCATAAAATTTTCAATCTTTTAAGTTGTCTGTTAATCGTTACCTTGCTTTGTTAACTTCTCTTCCAGTAAGTTATGGTATTAAGGTATTAAGTATAATCTGTCATTAAACAAGAGCTGCTGCTGGGTAATTATTTTATTCCGCAACGTATAAAAAAAATCTCCCTACACCACGCTACTAGGGCTGTTTCTAATAACTTGAGTACTATATACTGCGAAGCTTCAAAATTTCAAGTCGAATTAAAAATATGATTCGAGATACAAT